TTCTTCTTCTTCTTCTTCTTCTTCTTCTTCTTCTTCTTCTTCTTCTTCTTCTTCTTCTTCTTCTTCTTCTTCTTCTTCTTCTTCTTCTATCCTTACTCCTCTTCTTCTTCTATCCTTACTCCTCTTCTTCTTCTCATAGAAACGTTTATTATTATTTTGATTCTCTATTGATTTTTTCTCTTCTCTTTCTCTGGTTTCCTGAACATTTCTTTGATGATCAGATATTAGTTTGACGTTCGCCTTCTTTTGGCTCAAATCCCCCAGCTTAGCACGCAAATTGTTGTCATCATTGAGGTGGTTAAAGAATATTGCTTGTCGCTTTCTTTGCATATTGATTTCTTTATGACAAACGATTTTTAATGTTTTTACATCCCCATTGACACAATTTTAATCAATTAGATGACGAGCTATTTCGATCCTTTCTGCAAGGGCTAACCATTGGCTGAAAGGGGTCCAACAGTACCCTCGTTGCACGAAGGGGGCAAAATACCCACATGGAAATTGAACTCAGGTCTTCAGAACGCAGTGGAAAAATGTATAATCATTATACCACTGCTGTCGGTATTCTTTACAGCAATAAATGGTAAAATGGTAATGATTACATGATAACAAATGTGAACTATAAATGTTGGGTTTTTAATTGGTAAAGATTCTTGAGCGGTTAGGTGCTTCGCCATCGCACGCAAAAGACCTCAAGTCGATTCCCATATGGGGATAATTTTTTTTTCGAGTACATGTATTTCAATATTTCTGTTGGGACGTTGTATCCCTTTCAGTCCGGGTTGGCCCTGGCGCATAGAGTCGAAGCCCAGCGCATGATCTTTAATTATTTTGTACATTGCGTCGATGCGAGTGTGAGAAAAACCTACATTTGAACAAAAAACCTAAGATTTTTTAACAGTTTGACAATAATAATGATATTTAAATAAATCTTAACTTTGTGCCCCTTTGTGTGATGGGCGGAAAAGGGGATGGGGGTGAACAGAAGAGATGGGCGGGGAATATTTAGGGTGTGAGCGGTGAAGCGTTCTCGTTTTCTTTAAAGTTTGAAAACGATTACCTTTGCCATCTTCGTCGGTCATTTAACCGAGAAGAGCTAAAATGAAAGGCAGTGCAAATGAGCAAACTTTTAGATTTTTACTAGCGTCTGATTCCAACACGTTATGACTCACACCTTACTGTAAGTCAAGTTGGGGGGGGGGGGGATTCTCGTGGTCTAGAGGTTAAGTTGTTTGCCTCAAACTCATTACGCCTTGAGTTCGAAATCTGACAGCGATGGAAAATTTTGTTCTCTAAAAATGTTCTACTTTCACCTGTTTTACTGCTCTCTAAACATATTCTGTCGTCTGCTTTCGTCTCCACTTTCTGCCCCTACCCCCTCCTCCCTATTTGCCCTCTCCTCTGGGCTCCTGACTCTTTCTGCAGCCTTTCTACAGCTACTCCTTGTCTCCTTCTTTCTGGTGTCATTCAGCCGCACCCCTGATCTTAGGGTAGGTACGATCTTATACCTATCTTTCTCGGAAAAGGTCGAAAAAACCCCGAAGGTCCTGTGTGCAAGTTGGTCATGTCAAAGATCCCTTGGTGGTCGAAAATCAACAAGAGCAGGCTTCGCCCGCCACCCTGGCAAAATTCAAAATTAATTCATACCAAACTGAAAATGTTTAATGTGTCCCGTACTCTCATATGACCTTATGCAGTTAAGATTGCAGTAAAACACTTAGAGGAAAGAAAATTGCAACAACAAAAAAAAAAAAAAAAAAAAAACTCGACCCCCCCAAAAAGTCACGCTGAAAAGAGAAAGTGGAGATGCAATGGACGGCCTTTGATTTTTAAAGGGGTAGATCTAAAAGTGAATAATATCTTCATTTCACAACCTAAACCATTGATGATTCTACTTTCAGAGTTCCCAGCTATCCCTGTCTTGGTGATGTTTTAGCATATTTTTATCCTCAGCCTGTTCTTTCATTATATTTCATTTTATATGTACACATTATAGATTTATTTTTGAACTAGAAATTGCTTATAATTCTTTTATTGCGTTGATAATTGTTATAATATGAAGAGAACGAAGAAGAAGAAGAAGAAGAAGAAGAAGAAGAAGAAGAAGAAGAAGAAGAAGAAGAAGAAGAAGAAGAAGAAGAAGAAGAAGAAGAAGAA